TCGAAATTTATTCGCGCGAATAAATTCTGCTATTCTGTCTTGCTTCAAATTAATACCGGGGAAAGAATGCTTCAAATTTCTCACTATATTTGAATCGCAAGCCGAAAAGCTTGAACTTTTAACCAGACTGCGTCCGCGGGCAGAAATATACAGGAAAATATATGTGTTAGGGCAGTATCCTAAAACATATCGGGCTTTCCTCGCTCGGAATTTACGTATGACTGACTGGCGCCGACGAATAAGTCCAAAGTGGCCATTTTAATAGCTCGGGTCTTTACCAAACGGAAAATTTGGACGGCCGACCTGTTGCCTCAAGGTAAAGACTGCGAATTCGACTTAGCGTGCAAATATGGATAGTGCCCCGGGCCATCAGTAAGCATGGGTGGGGGTGGCTGAAGCTCCGAGTCTCTGATAACCTTTCCACGAATCGACGTGTTTATATGCCTCTTAACTGTCATGGGTTAGGCTCTCATTGCCAGACAATACAACCCAATTTATGACCAAGGATGCTCATGGCCGTCGCAAATTGAGACAACTGCTAGTCAAACCCCATGTCTACTGCTCATGTAATATTCTTCTCCCATTATCTCCGCAAGCGAGCTCCTGCACGTGCCCCTCGCTTATACGATGTTGTTCTCGCGATCTAGCGCTCTTCTTCATTGAAATAACCTATATTGTTCAAACGGGAAAAACACGCTCAGCAATATCCTTTGGCTTTCTAAAAACTGCCGTCTTCCAAATTTTCCAGATCCACTTTGAATACTAGAATATTTATCTGTGCGCTGTCCACATCTATTTAATCTACGACTGTTTGATGTGGTCAGTCAGTACCATTTCGACCGTCGAGTTCGACGAGCTTCAGCAAGCTGAAGGCAGACCCGGTGACTCACGCTGAATTATAGTGAAAGTAGACTCGCAGACAATCTACCTCATTCTCTCACCAATCCCACACCTGTCCCCGGTGTCAAGACAAGAGTCGAAAAGACTGGATATGGGGTAGGATGCAGGTAGTCAGTACCATTACTAACTTATCCACATTCTTTCGCTTCTTTTACTAGGAAAATGATCCGATCCTGCACCCAGCTCCCGGAGTTTCGGTCCGAGCCTCCCAGCTGACCGAGGATCAACAGATCAAGATTGCCGTGCGCATGGGCCTAATTGTAACCCTGCCTGTTCTTGCATTTGATGAGAGTAAACGCGAAAAGCTGTCGGAGTGAGTTCTTCAATGCCATGTTTTCGGCAGTTTTAAAAAGCTTTGATTGTTCACCATAAAGGTAACACCGACCGAATTGAGTCCGAAGTGGGCTTAGTCGGTCGCAGGAGATAGTTTTTTGTACGCCTGCGCCTACGGCATGAATATGTTTTGTACTTTATTTGCATTCAGAAAATGACAAGACAATCTATAAAATACGAGCACCATTCGTTCCCGAACTCTCCGGGAATTATCTTGCCTGCTGTGGTATTCATCAAAGGTAAAGTGGAGACTGGAACTCCTGGAACACTGACTCAACTCTCAAATTACGCCCTCAACTGGAAAATACTAGTCAAGGGCAGTTAGAAGATAGGGACCAGTATGTGCGTGACTTGCGTAAGGATAGTGTAAAAGTCTATTTGACATAACCTAGTCACCTTCACATAACTCCCTGTAATTCTTCTTTTAGTTAAGTGAGTTTTGGTACATTAAGTACTCCCCTCATAATCTGAAGTCCTTGTACCCAGAACTCAAAGGTACTAAAATTTCCACTTCTCTCCTACACTTTGGTTGACACAATTCGCCTGTTTCTCTGATGGTTTGCGCAACTATCCCCATAACCGACATAGACTTTCTATAGATTTATTCAGCTTTAGAAATCCGGGTAACCGTTTACTATTCAAATCCGTTGAAACTAGTCTTCATGTGTGTGTGTGTGTGCGGGGTGTTTATTAGTGCGCTGTACATAAAGATTCGTTTAGGGACATTACCTATTTCTGTCAGAAGTACACGTTCTGTCATGCCACAACTTTCGTCAGGAATAGTGCTTGGTCTAATGTGTTCTCTATCCGTTCTCCTCCCTCCCCCTCACACAAAAACTAGGTGCGTGATATGCATGTGTGATTACGAACTTGGCGACGAGCTACGTTATCTGCCCTGCATGCACACCTTCCACCGAGCCTGCATTGATGATTGGTTGATGCGTTCTCTAACTTGTCCATCCTGCCTGGAGGAGCTCAAACCCCCATCCATTATTACCACGCCACCTCCGCGAACTCACGCGACTGAGGTGACAAGCCCGATGGCTACTACCGCAACCACCATCACCAC